TCATCTTCCATTCTTTCTGACTTCCATCAAGCGATCTTTTCATTCATTAATAAAATCAAACCTTGCCATTATTTTCAGGGATGAAGTCCCATTCTGAACCTAGAGGACTCCTTTAATTAAACTCTGTTCTTCCATCCACCAGACACCTAACACTTTTTTAAAAAAAAAAGGATAGACTGAACCGCTTGTTTTATAAGCAAGATGAAAATATTAGAGCCATGGAGTCCACCTGCTCAAAGTCCCAGAAGAACTAACTAGAAAGGCATTTGCATATATCGTCTCAGCTCACACCACAACAGCCATTCCCCAGTAGTTCCCCTGCTGCCTCTCACCCTTCCCCAGCCAGTCCTTTGTGGAGGCAGCGTTACTTCTTAAAGGTTGTGATTGAATAGTACATTTAAAAGAAAAACGGGGTGGGGGGGGCCTTGAGTGATAGTACAGCAGGTAGGGCGTTTGCCTTGCACGCGGCTCACCTGAGTTCGATTCCCAGCATCCCATATGGTCCCCGGAGCACGACCAGGAATAATTCCTCAGTGCAGAGCCAGGAGTAATCCCTGTGCATTGCCGGGTGTGACTCAAAAAAACAAAAAAAGAAAGAAAGGAAGGAAGGAAGGAAGGAAGGAAGGAAGGAAGGAAGGAAGAAAGAAAGAAAGAAAGAAAGAAAGAAAGAAAGAAAGAAAGAAAGAAAGAAAGACAGGATAAGGGGCCTCTTTCAATTTTCAGTGTGGTGCCAAGGACACACATGAGTAATCCCTTCACATGAAATCTAATGTAATCTTCTTACACCAAAGACAGGGTGTACTTTGTAAATGGGGAACAAGTTGATCTCATCACATTTCAACCAGTTCAGCGTTTCATATTGTTGGCAATTATTTAAAATGTTGGTAACTTACAGCATTGTTTTTGAAGTTCCCAAAAATGTCAAGTGTGCTCTAGTTGGTGCACTGGTGGTGGAGAGTACATGACAGGTGTTGTTCAGACTTGTTTTAAAAGAAACAGACCCAGGATACCTGCAGGAATGAAAACTTCAACTTCATCAGCTAAATAATAATCCCAAGAGGGTCTGATGAGACATGTGGAGATAGGAATTCGGTGATCCGGGTCATTTCTCATTGGTTGACTATGTATGTTTTCCCATCTTTAACACAAAATCTTGCTATGAGTGAGCTTCATGCTATGTGTGAGTGTCATGACTTGCTGTAAGTCATGATAAATAACATTCCGTGACAACTGGAAGCAGTCTAGAAGAGTTTATACAGAATATCTATAATTGCAACTATATTTGAATATCTTTGTATTCCTGTCTTTAAAATATTTAGTAAAATTTTCTGGAGTGTTTTTGGATAGGAAAGAACAATGCCAAGGTCTTTCACTCCACTGGTATTTTTTTTTAATTATCTAGGTTTTTCTTTAGGATTTTGCATCTTAAATGTTCTCTAAGTCTGGGACCAGAAAGAAAGAACATCAGTAAGGTGTTTTCTCTGTATACGACTGACCTGGGTTTGATTCCTAACACCCTGTATGGTACTTTGAGCCCCAGCACAAGTGATTCCTAAGCAAAGCACCAGGAGTAATTCCTGAGCACCATCAGGAGTGGTCGCAAAATCAAAACAACAACAACAAAATGAACAAAAATCTTCTGTTCAGGAATGAAGGTGCTAAGTATTTCATTAACATTCTTTGCTATAATAATTTCTTCCTCTCCCAGTGATTCTGCACAAGGAAGGGGCACCAGTGGTGGGGTCCTGCAACATATAACTCCCAAGTCCCTGTGACTTCCTCATGCTATAGGTCCACACAGGGAACCCATCTCAGTATTGTCCCCCTAAAAGGTAGACATACAGAGTAGTCACTTCAAATGACTATTTCAAATACTGTTAGTCATCAGGCCGGGGGAAGGAGTATTCAGAGGGGACTGCACTATAAAAAGAAATGCTCCCCAGACCAGACAGAGTTCAGGAATGAAGGTACTTGCCTTGCATGCAGCCCAACCCAGTTCAATTCCCGGCACCACATGGTCTCATGAGCACTTCTAAGCACAGTCAGGAGCAGCCCCTGAGCACCTTGGTTTGAGATGTAGCCCCAAACCTACCCTTTTCCATAAAATGAATTCTCCAAGATGACATGGTGCCCATCACTACCACACAAATTTCATCAGTCGTGCCTCTGAACCAAGAAGAGGGCACCCTTGTGCCAGCAGAGAGTCACTGGGAGATAGCAGGTCAATAGCAGGAACAGCTAACACAGGACTTCAAAGATACACATAAGTTCTCTAACTAGTTCTAGAATTCTCTAGTTTCCCCTAGGTGACAGTTCCTTTACCTTGCTTTTGGCATCCTCCCATGATCAAGTAATTCTTTGATTTATATATTCTGCCCAATTTCAGATTCATAGACATTTATAGTTAAGACGATGAAAGGAGCCTCTATTCAGATAAACTGAAAAACTACAATTGTTTAACAGATCCTAGGAAGGAGTTTTCTTTGTTCTCTCTCTCACTCTCTGTCTCTGTCTCTCTCTCTCTCTCTCTCACTCTCTCCCTCTCCCTCTCCTTCCACTTCCCTTTCTCTCACTCTCTTTTTTTGCTCAATTTGTTTTGGCTTTTTGGGTCACACCTGGTGATGCACAGGGGTTACTCCTGGCTCTGCACTCAGGAATTACTCCTGGGGGTGCTCAGGGGACCAGCTGAGAATCGAGCCCAGGTCGGCCGCTTGCAAGGCAAACACCCTACCCACTGTGTTATCCCTCTGACCCCTTCTCAATTTCTTTTGTTGAGAAAAATGACTTTATTTTCCTTTTTTCCTTCTTTAGTGATTGAGTTCAGTTGGCAAAGAAGTCTATGAAAGAGCAGGATTCTAACTGCTTTTCTCTCACAACCCCCACTCACCCTAGTTGAACTATTGTAAGGGGCCGGGGGTGGGTGGGGTGGGTGAGGATTACTGATCTGCCTTACGAGAAATTTGCTAGCCTCTTTCCCATGCTTGGAAATAAAGTCTAGGCTGCTACAAAGACAATTTGAAATATCCTAAAGTCCCCAAGAGGAGTCCAGTCCATTGCTATAACTGAAATCTTCAGTTTTACTCCAGCCCTGCAGCTTGTGACTAACTCCTGAGTCCAGATCTGAAGATTCTGCTGAGCAGCTGCTAACAGACCGGAACTGCCTGCTGCACTGAGTGCGGTCGTGAGAGTGCTTCACTCACGTTGTTCTACTCTTGGCAGGGAAAGACAAGCAGGGCTGCTGTGACTCTACAGACTATGTCACAGAACAGGTGGGAGTGACAGCACCAGAGTGCACTCCTCAGAGCACTGGGGTTACAGGAATGGGTGGAGATACTGTCTGGCCTTCAATTCCTACAGTAAAAAAAAAAAAAAAAATCCTTCCCTTGAAAATCCTCCACCTCTTGGAAACATGGCTGCTCCCCTCATCTGAACAAGCTCTACACACTGAACCACTGGCATCATGCAGTCAGATGAGTGTGCCCAGTCCTAATTTTAAAAGCATTCTAGATTAATTTGTTTGCCAGAGATATGGCTTAGGTGTGACCACATTGTGATAACTACTGGAGATTTTGTTCTTAACAATGAGACTAAAGACCTCCTTTCCTGGAGCACCTGCTGGGTGACACAGACAATACACAAATATAGCAATATCACTGTCACTGTCACTGTCCTCCCACTGTTCATCGATTTACTCGAGCGGGCCCAGTAACGTCTCCATTGTGAGACTTTGTTGTTACTGTGTTTGGCGTATCGAATACGTCACAGGTAGCTTGCCAGGTTTTGCTGTGCAGGCGAGATACTCTCGGTAGCTTGCCAGGCTCTCCGAGAGGGGCGGAGGAATCGAACTCAGGTCAGACATGTTGGCTGTGTGCAAGGCAAGTGCCCTACCCGCTGTGCTATCGCTCCCGCCCATAGCAATATAAAGTGATACTATTTCATACTGTAGCCATACTGTGAAGAAAAGGAGTGGGTGAAGAAGTAAAGCATAATTAGGAGAGATCACTTCAAAAAGACTGATGAAGAAAGTTTTCTGTGATTAGAGGACACTTCAGCTGAGAGCTAAAACATGAGAATGGACCAGGACTTAAATACGGAGGGAATACAAGTCAAATCGGAACAGCAAAGTATAAAAGTGTGGAGACAAAGAGAAGGAATACGGTAACTACGATCAATGTGATTGTGATGGCAGAATGAACAAAAAAAGCTAATGGCGTTGGATATGCCTGCCAGAGCAAAATCATGCAGTGATCTTGGGGGGAGCATTTCTTATGACTGCTAAGGGGAAACACTTGCGAAAACTCTTTAGCTGTGTGAAAGGCAGAAGAAGACCAAGAGCGAGAAGACTGTACTAGGATGAAAGGAACTTCAGCCAAGGTAACGCCGGAGACGAAAAGAAGCAGGTGAATTTGAGCTCTCTGTTTAACCCAGGGAAACTTGGCGATGACTGGAAAGAGAAACAAAGGGATCTTGGGATTTGAACAAAAGACAGGCAGGCAGGCAAGCAAGCAAGCAAGCTCCTCCATCTCTCAAGCAGACAGACTTCCCAAGGTTAGCGCTGCCCATCAGCAGGTCCAGCTAGCAAGCTAGCAAGACAGCGCCTTTGGGCCACCCCAAAAAGGAGGGCCCAATCCAAAGCAGTAACAGATTCAGAAGTGAAGAATGTCTTTTGTTCCCACCCTGGGAGGGTTGGGCTGGGCTGATCAAGGGGGTCCACAGCCAATTTGGGCTCTTCAAAAGATCTAGACCCAGGCCACCATCGCACGGGGGTGGGGGGGGGCTTGAGCGCCGGGCAAGTCTTGCGCAAGCCAAGGCCACAGCCGGCTGCCTCCGGCAACCCATCCTCGCGCTGGCTCCAGCCCGCCAGCCCCGGGATGCCTGGGGGCGGGGCCTCCCCAGTGCCCGCCCCCGCCGCCCGCCACTCGGGTCACCTGACCGGCCCGCGTGTCACGTGATCCGTGCCCAGCGCCGCCATTTTGGAGCTCCGGATGAGGAGTGGGGGGGGGGAGCGAGGGGGCCAAAGAGGGGCCCAAAGAGTCCGGAGCGAGGGAGGCGAGGACCAGGGCGAGGGCACGGCCGGGCTCCTGGCCGGCCCGAGGAGGCTCGCGGAAGCAGCAGCCGCCGCCCGATCGCAGGTACCGCGCCCCGGGGCCGCCCCTCCGCCCGCTGCTCCGCGCCGCCGCCGCCAGCCATGTGCGTCCTCCCCTCGGGCCTGTGCCCGCGCCGGCCCGCCGCGCGCCCCCCGCCCCGAGCGCCGCGGCCCCCGCGCCCGGGCCCCGGGCGGGCCCTGCAGCCGGGGCGGGGGCCGGAGGGGAAGGGGCCGCCGCCGCCTCCCGCCCCCTCTTGTAGCCCCGGGGGTGGGCGCCCGCCGCGGCCTCGCCCGCTCCTCGGGGTCCCTTTCTCCGGCCCGCAGCCTCGGCGTCGGGAAAAGCCAGGACCCCAGAGGAGCCGCCCGCATCCTGCTTGCACCTTCTCCTCGCACCCATGGTGGTGGTGGTGCTGTGTGTGGTCGGGGTGGAGGGTGGGGGGTGGGGGTGGGTGGGTGATGCTGGTGGGTGGCGGGGAGGAGGTCGCGCCCACCCCCTCGCCCCCCGCCCAGATCCCCGAGCCTGGTGCCCCACCGCCGAACACCTGGAGGCGTCGGAGTGAAAGGCTGGAGTGGAAGGTCTGGGTGATTAATTAGGCAGGCGGAGGCGACCGTCCCAAGCCCGAGGCGATCTTTTTTTTTTTCCCAGGGAATGCAGTGAATGCAGTGGGCTGTAAATTCCCGGTGTCTGCACCTTCTCCAAAGATTGCTGGGAGCGCCTCGAGTTTGTGCTTCAGTCCTCTGCTCTGCCTCTGTGTGTGTGTGTGTGTGTGTGTGTGTGTGTGTGTGTGTGTGTGTGGTGCATTATTCAGGAGGAGAAGAAAGTCTGATCCTTCCTTAACTTCATACTTCACTAACTCCTTTCGAATTAACTACCAGAGGGAGGGAAAAAAAAAACAACCAACCAACCAACCAAGAGGTGCTTTCTGCCCTGCTAGTGCCCCCCCCCCTTTCAGCATGATCGTTAAGTTATGGCACTTGACCATAATCGATAAGAGAGTTGCTTTCTAAATAAAAGGAATAGCACTCCTCCAACTTTCTTTCTTTCCAGCTAGGAACGAGAAACAGCAAAGGAATGTAGGGAGAGGATAGGAAAGTGCATTAACGATAAAACAAACAAACAAAAACCTAAAGGTCATTGCCCTGTTCTTGCAAGGCTACCGTGCAGCCCAGCCCGCTGTGCTTGGAATCGGAAGGTTTGCTAATCAGCTTGAAGATGGTGTTTTTTTTTTTTTGTTCCGATGGAAGTAACAGTATACAATTTATTACGCCTGTTCTCAGTAAAACCAATACAACTTTGAGTCAGATCGATTCTGAGCTAAAACTTAAAATACACAATTATTGCGAAAAGTTACTTTCTAATTGGCACAGTCCCAAAGTCTAATCTTAAATTATGTAAATTTGTGTCGCATAATTGGGTTGTATAAACATTCTTCTGAATTTTTGACATCGAATATTGAAAAATATTTTTTGCTGCCAAAGAAATTAAAAGTCACTATTTCACCAAGAGAAAGAAATGTTTGATATGATATATTTTCATTCTTGGCCACAGCTGGATTTGAAGATTGATCCAAGGGACTATTAATTTCAGGAATTGATTTGAAAGACACTGGCTCTGACACTTAACAGCCATGTAACCTTGGGTAAGTCACACTGCGCTTAGTGCTTCCTTACTTGTAAAATTGTCTAAAGCTTACTTGGCCTGTCCCAACAAGTTATGAGGATCAAACCCTAATATGCCTGATACATTGTAGCCGATGTATCATATTGATACAGTTTTTTGTTCTTGCTGGAAAATTAAGAGTAACATGGGTGTCTTGAGAAGGAATGGATTTAAAATCAGATAGGCCCAGATCCTGTTTCTCAAACCAGATATTACTTTACATCTGGTAAGCCTCACATTCCTTTTCTGTAAAAGGGAGGCTAATATTACCAGGAATGACACGAGTAATACTCAGCATCCCTCCCAGGTCCTACATGAGGGCAGGAATTCCCTCTTAATGTTCAGACTCTCTAGCATGGAGCTTGACACATTATTGGTGCTCAGTAAATGTTAAATCTGAATATTGGTTAACATTAGTTAGACCTTATGTCTTAATTGCAACTGCCAAATTAAAATCTACTCGCAGGCTAGGTGCCAGCTATGAGTTTTTAGACTGAAATTCATATACTTAAGATATTTATACTCCTTTTTTTTCTTAGTAGCAATTAATAATTATACTAAGCTAAGGACGTTTCTAATTCAAATAATTATAGTTGACATTAGTTAGGTAAATCTGTAGACACTGAGTAGTTTCAAGAACTAATTTTTATAGTTTGTAATGTAGTGACATATAAGTTCTGACACTATACGTTTTACATCTGAAGAATCTACGATTCACAGAAACAGTAATTTACCTAAGACCGTGCAGCTAAAGAAGGGCATTCTAGGAGAAAAACTCAAGCTTATGTTCCCTTCCACCTTTTGGCAGGAGCAAAATTAGTATTTTGAGGTTTAGAATCATATAGAAAAATGGTACTTGGCCATTACTTCTGTACTGCAATTTGTTTCTAGTTGAGAAAACAGATTCTCGTTCTGAAGGAGAAGGTTCTTTATAACATACTAAACTGTCTTCACACTCTCCAGATAATTACATCCTTTCTCCAGTCCCACTCAAGCCCCTCTGAACTGACTGTACCGCTATCACTGTAAAAGGAGCAAATTAGATATACAGTAAATGATGTAGCAAATTATTGGGAATAGAGGCAACTGAAATAATTTGGCCCTTGTCTTGGAAAGACATTAATTACAAGGTTTTACTTGTGGAATCTGTTGTTTGGGAAAGGTCTGAGATAGTGATGAAGGATTTAGAACTTTTCTGCTTTGGGATACAATTTCTGTTTATTTATTTGCAACAATCTGGTATATTTGGTCTAATTGTTAATGTCTAGAGACTCCAAACAAGAAACCACCCTATTTTGCTATTGCCTCTTGCCTTTCTCCGCCAAGGAAATCTTCATATTTATCCATGTTAATCTTTTCAATAACCCCTATCTCGCATGCTTACTCTCACTTTGGGTTTCAGTTGCCTTCCTTTGAAGTCTTACATTGTGTCAGCAGAATGCCAAGAAAATAAAGGACACTCTCAACTTCATATAATTCAAAGAGAGTGTGTTTGCATAGAAACTCATGATAAAGGTGGAGGACTTGTATGAAGAAACCATGGGGGAGTGTGGTTATTGGGAGCCAGCATGATCAGAACGAGAGCTACCAGAAGAACAACCTTAAAAGAATAGCCTGCTGGGACTGATAGCCTCCTTGGAGAAACCTGACCAGTTAGAGTGACCTTAAGGGAAGGAAGTGAACTTCCTGGTCTCTTTCTGCTCTCTCCCTTTGATCTGCCGCGGCTTCCCAGTTGGCCGACTCAACCAGGAACCAAAGGGCATGGAAGCTTCAAGAGGGGTTATGGATCACACCCTGCATCCCTGCCCTTTGGAATATAGTGTGTATGTTACCTCTGTAAGCAGCCATTGCTTACTAAACCTAAACCAAAACTCACTCGACTTCGGTCTGTTAGGATATGATCCTTGAATCTTACTATTCAAGGATCATACTACTTGTCTGTTGCTGCATTGTTGAAAACTTCTCTATATATTTTTTCTAAATGTATTTATCTTATCCCCTCAAGCAGTTTTGTGTGTGTGGTATAAATTAAAATCGCTGGGGGCAAAAGATAGGAAGAGATAGTACTTGGCTTATACGTGGCCATTCTAGATTTGATCCCTGATAACCCTAGATGGTTTCCCAATCCTCCCACAGGAGAGAACCCTGAACACAGAATCAGGAATAAGCCTTGAGCATAGCTGAGTGTGGCCCACCAACCCCCCCACCAAAAAAAAAAAACCCACCTTTTGCTGCTTTGTTTTTTTCTGTAATTCATTATTATGAAACAATGTTACTTGTATAAGGAAAGTGTTGGAAAAATAGTGAATAGGTGCTTGACTTGCATGTGACTGACCCAGATTCAGTCCATGGCACTACATATCGTCTCCCAAACCCTGTCAGGAGTAAGCCATAAGCATCACTGGATATGGTTCAAATGCCCACCAGAAAACAACCCAAAAGACTCCGTTTGTACTAGTAAAAGAATACAGTGAGCTAGGTACTGACAAATTCCGTGACAGAATTTGCCTTTTTTTTTTTAATCTCCAACTTCTGTACCACCCTCTCCTTGGTAATTATTTTTTAATTTTTTAAAAAATGTATTTTTTAAAAAATTGACCATAGAAGGCATGCAGATTTTCTTATTCAATGTTGGCATCATTATTGGTCCAGTAGAATTTTTAATTTTTATTTCTTGTTTTTGATTTTATTATTTTAATAAATTATATTTTAACTTTGTATGCAGTTGTATATGTGTGGATGCACTCATGCATACACTGATAGTCTAAGCAAAATTTTTGTTACAATTTGAAGAATTGTCCTTAAAGTTTGTTTTGCTTTCTCTATTATAAGCTATTTCTCTGACCTTTTTTCAGTGAGAGCCTTTTGTTTTAATGTCCTACGCATTAATTTTTGCCATGTGGTCCAAACTGGTTTTTCAGGTGTTTGTTAATGTATTTTATTTTGTCATATCTGTTTTATAGCTGCCATTTCTGTACTTATTCCCAAATGTATGCAGCCTCTAAAATGAGATACTTACATAAATGTTCAGGGGAAATTGGAGCATCTGCTGCAAATTTCCATTAGCTCTTAATGCCTGAGCAGACACAGCTTTAAAATCTGAATGTTTTGTCAGATTCTTTTGTATTAGTCTTTTTCTTGAGATAAGATGAACTCCTCCTCTTCTTCACTTCACTTTCTTTTTAAGGTACACACTAAGATATCCACAGGGAGCAATTTGCACTGCTCCACCTTCCTCCCATTGTCTCAGCAAGTAGGCGTGGAATACCATGAGTCACCTTTGTAACCCTGTGGGTGTACAAAGTCTATTGAGCAAACATTCACTTGTTAACCTCCAGATCCTCAGTCAGCCCACAGAGATGGGGCTTTGCAGGACAGGGAGACCTTAGGGCTACAGTAGCGCAAACTATCTTGGGCAGGAACTGGAATGTTCAAGGATTCCTGTGAACTATTGTTTGATAGTTGGGCTGGAAGAAAGCAGACCTTAAGTAGTGGATGACCTGAGCAGACACCTGTGTTCCCATGAAGAGCCACTACTGCCCTTGGCCTCAAAGTTGGGAATTCTTGGGCACTGAACTTAGAACTTACGTGAAGTCTGACTGGGTTTTTCTAAAGAAGCAAAATTTCCCGCCACAGCTGAGCCTCTCTTTAGTGACTTAGGTTTAAAAGCACTTGTCCTGTTGAAGGAGCTAGTCTTTTGAGAGGTTCTGGGCACTCCGGTTGTTTAGGAGAGAAAGTGGCTAACTGGCCTCTGGGGGGGTGGGGGGAGCAGTCATTGTGATGACTGAAAGGCATTCCCTGCCCTTAGTGTAGTTAAGAGGTGAAAAGAGAGCAAGGCTGATCCCGGAGGGCAGAGTGGAAGCAGCAGGAAAGAGCCAGTACTAAGGAAGCCGAGAATGAAATGTTTGCAATTTGCCTGATACGGACCCAGAGAGAAAAGTCTGACGTGCCAGGGAGAGGAGAAAGGAGGAGAGGAAAGGCTCTGATGGCTGCCAAGAGTTGATGTGGGAGAACCAGCACTGAAACTGGTCACCACGCAGCTGGGATCTGGCAGCGCTGCAGGAATGGGCGTGGCGGGACCCTTCTGTGTTGATCTGGGCTTAAGAGGAGCTATGATATGACATACCTCCTAAAATAAGAATTCAGAGCCTGGGACTGAAGTTTAAGAATAGTACAATCTTGGGTCCCTAGCTAGTGCTACTAAAATTTTTGCTGGCTGCCTCGAATGTTGTGAGTAAGATTCCAAAATGCACCTAAAATGTGGAAAAACAAAACTTGTTGCTGGCAAAAAGCCTGAACTTAAAATTTGATCCAAATCAACAAATTAGATTCACTTTAAGCCAAAGGAAATTTTCGAAATGACAATGCTGCCAGGAAATAAGAGTATTCGAGATTTAGGCTCAAAGATATAGCATTTTATGTTTAGTGACTTCCTTGGCCATCATGCACCTACACATAATCCATCTAAGTAATAAACGTATATAGACCTGAAGCACAACTAGAATGTCTAATATTTTCTCTGGTGCTTTCACTTTCGGGTGGTGATGGGAAGAGACAACTATAAGTGTGTATGAGTAATGATTGACCACTAATTGGACCTCTAGAAAAAAACCACAACATGGTTTGTGGTTTATCTTCAGGAAGATAAATTTAAGGAAGTAAAAGAAGGAACAGGATTATTGCTTGCATTTCATTTCCCTTGTGTAGTGCTTCTCACAATTCCCTCTACCCTTTACAATACATGACGGTATTTTCACAATTTTAAAGATTTAGAAAGAAAAAAATAAAATATTTGTGTGTGTCAGAACTAGTCTCTTGCATAGGTGACATGGCTCTCTAGAATGATATTTCATAATAACTAAGGGGGGTTCACATACCTGGGAAATGGCTGTGTGCCTTTCGTTTAAGAATAGATGTCTCTTTTTTGTCCTGCTTTGATATTGTACAGAAGAGAGAGCACACAATTAGTCTCAGCTAGATGTCTAGAGAAAGGGGGAAAGATTGTTGAAGTCATTTCTAAAGAATTGAATCAAAGATGGAAAGATGTCCATCTTAGCCCTCATTGGGAGGCAGCTTTCCAAAGAGGAATTCCAAACAATGTAGGTCTATGTTGGAGATAGCTAGGTTTACCAATAAGGGCCCACCAGGTCAGAAAACACTTTCTGAGTCTAAGTTTCCTGTTACCCCATAACCTGGTGTTCCTTTCTATTGTATGTTTTCCGTTTTAGATATGGAAGAAAGCAGCAGTGTTGCCATGTTGGTCCCAGATATTGAGGAACAGGAAGCCATATTAACTGCTGAAACTGTCATCAGTTCGTCATTGGAGATTGATGAACAAAGAAAAGCTAAAACAGATCCATTAATTCATGTTATCCAGAAATTGAGCAAGATAGTGGAACATGAAAAGTCACAAAAATGTCTTCTAATTGGGAAAAAACGCCCACGTCCAAGTGCTATACCACGGTCTCTTGAAACTCAAGAAATTTATGAGATTCCAGCTAAAATAACTCAGACATCTCCTGCTAATACTAGAAGGGCTGAGATGTCACACACAAGTTTTGTCCCTGACTCTCTTGCCCCAAATGATGGGAAGGTTATGTCTTACCAGTGTAGCCTTTGTAAGTTTTTGTCATCCTCTTTCTCTGTGTTAAAAGATCATATCAAGCAGCATGGTCAGCAGAATGAAGTGATACTAATGTGTTCAGAGTGCCATATTACATCGAAGAGCCAAGAGGAACTTGAAGCTCATGTGGTCACGGAACATGAAAATGATGCCAGTAGCCACTTTCAGTCAAAAGCCCAGCAGTGCATAAGTCCCTCCAACTCCTTCTGTCAGAGAACCACAGAGAGAAACTGTGAAACCATTCCTGACATCCCAGTAAATGTGGATATCCCACAGACTCATACTGTTCAAACTGCATCTGTGGCAGAAGTGGGCAGGAGGAAGTGGTATGCATATGAACAGTATGGCATGTATCGATGTTTGTTTTGTAGCTACACCTGTGGCCAGCAGAGAATGCTGAAAACACACGCTTGGAAACATGCTGGGGAGGTTGATTGCTCCTATCCAATCTTTGAGAATGAAAATGAGCCCCTAGGCTTACTAGACTCCTCAGTGACTGCTGCATCTGGTGGAGTCGATGCAGTAGTCATTGCTATTGGAGACAACGAACTGAGTATCCACAACGGGCCCTCAGTTCAGGTGCAGATTTGCAGCACAGAACCATTAACGTCTTCCTCTCCTTTAGAGCAGCGTGTGGAAGCCGGAATTCACCTGAGTCAGTCCGTTGCCCTTGACCCTAATGAGGAAGAAATGTTAGAAGTGATTTCTGATGCCGAGGAGAATCTGATTGCTGATAGCCTACTCTCCTCTGCACAGAAAATCATCAGCAGTAGCCCAAATAAAAAGGGTCATGTTAATGTGATTGTAGAACGTCTGCCGAGTGCTGAAGAAACGCTTTCACAGAAACACTTCCTCCTGAATGCTGAACTAGAAGAGGCAAAAAACATGAGCTCTACAGAAGTCCCAGTTGGGTGTGAAGGAACAGATGCGATTTATCACGCTAACAAATGTACTGTTGACATTGGGGGGCTGATCATAGGTTGGAGCAATCCAGAGAAGAAAGACAGTGAGTTAATCAATAAAGGACTGGCAGCCGATGAGAACGCCCCACCAGGCCGAAGGAGGACAAATTCTGAGTCTCTTAGACTACACTCCTTAGCTGCAGAAGCCCTGGTCACAATGCCGATTAGAGCTGCAGAACTAACAAGAGCCAACCTTGGACACTATGGAAATATGAACCTTTTAGATCCAGATACTGGCCAAAGGCAAGTAGATAGTAGCACATTGGCAGCATATTCTAAAATGATGTCACCACTTAAAAATTCTTCAGATGGATTAACAGGTTTTAACCAAAGCAACTCTGCCTTGGTCGCGCTCCCAGAGCGTAGGCAGGAATTGTCGGACGGGCAAGTTAAGACAGGTATTAGCATGTCCCTGCTTACTGTCATTGAAAAATTGAGGGAAAGGACTGACCAAAATGCTTCAGATGATGACATTTTGAAAGAGTTGCAGGATAATGCACAAAGCCAACCCAACAGTGATGCCAGTTTGTCGGGAAGCAATGTAGTGGAATACATCCCTAATACTGACCGACCCTACCGTTGCCGCTTGTGTCACTACACGAGCGGTAATAAGGGCTACATTAAGCAGCATTTGCGAGTCCATCGACAGAGACAGCCATATCAGTGTCCTATCTGCGAGCACATAGCTGACAATAGCAAAGACTTGGAGAACCACATGATCAACCACTGTAAAACGAGAATATACCAGTGCAAGCAATGTGAAGAATCTTTCCACTATAAGGTAAGTGTTGATTCATGAAACCATCCAGAGAACCTTAAAACTCTAGCTCAAGGAGGGGACTTAGTGGACCTAGTGTGTATAGTTCTGGTAACTCATGTGATAGACAAAGAAAGATGAGATACAGACAAGTTTGACGATTTGTTTGGGAATCCCAACTAACTGATACTCAAGTTGGAAATGAAACCAGAATTTCTATAAGATTCTTGCCCCCTGCCTGCTCCCTCCTTAAAAGCCTTCTTTTATTGCTTTCGTAACTTTTAAAAAGTGCACTAATTGGAAATTGCAAGAGATTGTAGAGTGGTTTGACACCATGAACATTTGACTTAAATGCAGTCCTACATCTCACAAAGAAAAATGTCAGAATGTAATCTTCACTCTCGCTGCTACACAGCCAACCAGCAGTGATTGCTGTTGTTGCCAGAGGAAGCAGTGGGCTGTATTGAACTTAATAACAGGTGGAGGGTAATAGCTGAGACATGCATTCCGTTTATGGGGGCAGCTTACGGAATTTTCAAGGACTAATTTTGATTTTCATCGATATGCTACCTTAAAACCAACAACTTGCGTGAAATACTGTTCTTTGTAAGGGGACTTCTACTTACTGGTTTAGCCGTTTTCTTCAGTAGACCGATTGGTGATTTAGGAGTAGGTTGCAGGAAGTACCCTGCAAGGATATCTGGTATGTAGATTTTTTTTCATTCATTACCCAGAGTTGGGGTCTTACTGATAGTATAAAGATAATCTGAACTGTTGCTCATATTTTTTTTGAGTGGGATGCACTGCCACTTGTGAAATTTAGTATTATGAAATTCTGAGTTGGCCTCAGGCCACTGGACAAGTGGTGCATCCAAGTGGACTGCAAAGGCAAGTTCCAGGAGCAGCTTCAGCAAATAAATTGATCCCTCGTGAGGGTGGATGTATGCACTTGTTCTTGATAGTTCAAGGCAAAAGTTAGCAGAGGTCCAGCAGTTACTGATTAGGTTTATTTTGGTGCACTGGTTTTCTCAACACTGTTCTCTTCACTGGGTTTCCCAGGAAGCTATACACATGCTATGCATAAACACTTCCGAAGTAGTGGCTTCCTTTCAGAGAATGTGAAAAGCACTGCCTTTCTGATGAGACAGTGATTTTCTTATCTCTGTTTCCATGAACTCAAATGGGTTAAATAATTTTGTAGCACGTTTGATTTAAAAATACTGGGTTATGTTCGAGGCCAAGAAGGCTTTAACACCTATAGCTTCCTGTTAACTGGGCAATGTATGTTTACTGGAAATTACGTATTCATTTCTCTCACTTTCTCTCAGAGTCAACTGAGGAATCATGAGAGAGAACAGCACAGTCTTCCAGACACCCTGTCAACAACAATTTCTAATGAGTCAAGAATTACCAATGACCCAACTGATGGAAAATGTGTTCAGGAAGGTACCTGCATTTTTAAAAAATTCAGAATGCACTGATGGGCATGCTCTGATAGATCATTTTCACAGCTAAAGCTATTCTTCTTATATGATACATCTGAGTTGATCCTATCTCTGTTCCTGAAGAATTTCAAGTCTGAAACAATTACTATGACCTACGTAAGAAGTAATTAGTTCACCCCCAGCTTCAGCAGTGTGGATTGGTTCTGCATTGAATTTATGGGCTTGTAGAAGAACCAGGTTACAGCATAAATCCTTAGATGTAGCCCAGGGAAGCTGCTTATAGAGAGCAACCCTCTCAGTGCTCGGTGACCCACAGAAAACATAGCTTTGCAGATGCTAAGCTCCCACCTCAAACTTGAACTGAGCCTTCCTGCTGTGATCCTATTCTTACCCAAACATGCCTGCCAGATTCCATCTGCATTATTTAAGAACACACACACAAGATTCCAGCCCCCCCTCCTCCACCCAAACACCCCACACAAGATTTTTTATGTACTAGTTAGGTACCAGTCAGCCGAGTTTCTTTTAATAGGAATATTAGAATCAAAAGATTTAATTAGAGTTTCACGAAAAAGGCAAATGCCATCTCCAGAGAACTAGGGATTAAGTAAAAAGCTGTGCTTCCTTGCATCAGCTCACTTCAATCGATACACTTTAAAGTCTCAAGTGTGGTGCATAGTGTTTATGGGAAATAAAACATATTGGGGTGACTTTCCTTTTCAGATTTCCTAAGAATTAAAGTTAGGAACAACTGCAGAGTAAAATGTTTTACCATAATGTTTCATTAAATTATACCCCAGAAAGCATAACCGATTCTAGAATGTTTCTGAAAGAACTGATTTTGACACCACTGTAGCACGAAAATTCCCCTGTCAAACAGATGTCATCCCTGTAAAGCTATTCAAAACAAAAGGAGTTTATGACACAGCATCTGTTTCAGCGATAGATGGCTGAGCTGAAACAGTTTCTTTTTTTTACAAAATAGCCCTAAATGCCTCCTTTTATTTTAATTCATTATGCTTCCATATCCCCTTTAAAGGAGACATTAAAACATTTGATATCATTGGATCATAAATCCCTAATGAAGGAATAAAGTAAGTACTACTCAGTGGCACCACCTGCAGTTAATACCCGCGGTAGATTATGGCTTTTCTAGCACCGTCTTCAAAAGCCTTAAATTTGAATTGTTCAAATGGGTTAACAGATTAATACTCACAATTTTAATAAGAAAGATTAAGATGTCAGTTCAAGTTCATGCTCAGTTCAGGCTTTACAACATTTCTACCTGGCATCTTCCATTTGGAAGCATCTTTTCTTCGTGGGACTTACTGTTTCTTAAGGTTAAACGTGTGGGTTTTAAATTGCGTTGCCATTTCTTCTCCTCACTCCCCCACTCGATTCTATATGTTTTCCTGTCATCGTAGCATAACAGTTCGGATGACTGATGACCTCTTGCATGTTATAGCTCCTCTTGCACTGCTATTAAACTTTTGATCATTCAGAACAAATCGTTAGCTCACAAAGAAGGTAAAAATAGTCGATGTTTTATTAAAACTACATTATAACCATTCAGTGTATGCTAAAGAAAGAGATGTGTGCCTCTCTGGGCCCTAGTCTCTGCTCAGTGTCATAGCACAGATAGTTGATTTAGGACATATTTTCAACTTAGCTTAATGGCCCTTCAGACATTGATTCTGCAGAAAGTCTTGAGGCGCCATCTCAAACTAGATGACGCTGTGCTGGGTAGTGGGAGTCCAGTGAAGACATCGCTCCTGTCACTTGAGAATCCCAGCCTAGTAAGGACGCCAAAATTACATTACTGCTGTCAGCAAACACCACAGGTGCTAATTGGGTGTTTCTTTGTGAGATTTAATTGTTTTATTTATTACAAATGTATGCTTTTGACAGGCTCTGGGGCTTCAGTGTGAAAGCAACCAGAAGCAGATCCTTGCCCTCATAAAGTCTGGCTAGTGACAGCTCTCAGATTGTAGATATGCAAGATGAAAAAAGACGACAGCGAAGAAAGACTTCAAGGTCTCACTAAGTCATGCAGGAAAATTCTAGCCTTCCCATTTCGTAGATGAGACAATGAAGTGAAGAGACAAAATAGTTTTCCTGTGAACACCCGGGTACTAAGTGGCAGAGCAAAAGCCTAGGCCCAAGTTTTTGAACTTTAAATCCAGTATTCTTTCCATTCGAAACAGTTGCTTGAAGTAGCACAGGCTCTCGTTCTGTGCTATATTAAGTTTTTCCATCTGTCACTTTTATTAGTTGTCATTGATCTGTAATATTTCTCACACGAAATCATTATCCAATATTTCACGCTTCATTTTTTCAGGTTTTTTTTCCCCCCTTAAACTGTATTTGGAACAGTGCCACTATGATCAAGTCCAAGTTTTTAACCTACCAATTAAGAGCAATACTTAGATTATAATTATGATTAGTGTGTGTATTAATGCTACAGATTCATGCCATGAAATTAGGACATTTGTTCTGCCTGGCAAGAGTATTATTAACAAAGGAAAATTCAATTTTAGGAAAGCTTACATTTATCCTAAGGATCTTCTTTGTGTTGTTAAAATTTCATTATAGGTCTTTTTTTGTGCCACTGATTTCACTTTTATGCATAGTGCACTCGGATTCTACCTAAGCTTTCATCGTACTCTGCTTTATTCTTCAGCTTCCATGCCTGCTTTGTTTCTGAATATAAAGCAATCAGGCTGTGAAAGGCCTGTGGACTTTATGCTAACAGAAGAGTAAATAAAGCATTCTATATCATCAGGAACAGTTTCATATAATCAAGTCATTCAGCTTGTATTGTCTCAGATTTACCCTAATTTGAATTACCCAGCCTGTAGTTAAAGAGGGAATTTCGTAACACAGCTTAATTCCAATGGATTCATGCTTCCCGAATTTTAGAGAGCTGCCTGTTGGTGTTAGTCATAACCTTTATCCCTGTAACCTGTCAATTTACTAGGTATGATTATACTACTTATGAGGCACTCATAATTTACAGTTACTTTTCCTTTCATTGTTGTATTGATAGCTGACGTTTAGTTATAAACAAAGGAAACCCACAGAGTGAGAAAACCTTGTACTGTAGATTATACTAAGTCTATTACACACCAGTCCCCCATTAGCCACAGTGGCAATGTTCCAAGCCCCTAGTATGCCTGAAACTATTTATGATACCAAACTATCGGTCCTGGTTTTTCCTGCTTCTGTGACAAAGTGTAATTTGTAAATTAAGCACAGTAAGAGATTAACAACATTAATAATGAAACATACCACACTCATGAAATCTGTTAATCTTCTAGAGTATTTTACATGATATTTTCAGACCATGATTCATTGAAGATAATTGAAGCTGAAGCTAAGGGGGATGTACTGTATATGCCCTGTAACTGTTTTTCTAATATCGGATTATAGTATGAAATTATAACTTGTCGGCAAACCAGATCTCTTTAAGACAATGTATCCTCTATTGATTAAACTAGCACCTTTCAAATGAACAGTCTCTCTGGGTAGTTCAACTGCTATGTTGAGGATAGGCTCATAGTTTAGGATTTCCTATGTGCAAGGTTTTATTGTGTCTCTTTATGAAACAGGTGATATTGGTCCAAATGCAGGAGAGTCTATAAGACAATATTTAAACTTGGTAACTAAGAAGCAAGAAAGTCTTGATTGAAATGTTAGTGCTGTCTGATAAAAATGTTTCCTTCACAACGGAATGTAAGTGCTGTCATTTGAATCTAATCAAAGCGTGCCATTGAAAATCTTAAATACTTTGTCTAGGGAATAAGACTTCAGTCCAGAAACAGTATAGATGTGATGTGTGCGATTATACAAGTACAACATACGTTGGTGTCAGAAACCACAGACGAATCCATAACTCTGATAAGCCATACAGGTAAGTGTATTGGGTCTAAGTTTTATTGTTTGTATGAAAATATTTTGTAGTAAAGAAAAAAGGAAAAAATAGCTTAAAATTCCTAATGTGTTTAAAGACAGGATAAATGCTTAAATATTATTGCTTTCACAAATTATTTGTGGTGAAGGAATTATTGCACTATTAACTTTTGGTCTTGGGATCTTAGACCCATTTTATCTAGTTTCAACCAGAGGGAAGGTCTCTGTATCTTGTCAGTTTTAAATTTTTTATTTAATTTGGGTACAGATCATAGCAATTTTTATTGCTCAGAGTGCATTTCGGTTCATTAAGTTTCTCGATATTTCAGCCAAAGATTCTTAAAACTTGAATTAAAATTCCATAAGGGGCCTGAGAGAAGACTCAGTGGGCTGATGCACATGCTTTGCAGGAGGAGACCTTGCTTCAGTTTTCAGCACGACATAGTCCCCGGAGCCAGCAGAGGCTCCCCCACCCCCCAAAGCCCTGTGAAAGACGCTCTCCTTGGAAACTAAGCTGTTGTGTCATTTCATTTTGTTCCTTGATTTTTCATAAAAGCCTTTCTAATGTGTTTTTTATTTGGTTGTTTTTTTGTTTCAGGTTTTTGTTTGGTGGTTTGTGTTGGAGGGCCACACCCTCCGTGGTCGAGGCTTACTCCTGCCTCTGCTCTCAGGACTCAAGGGACCATGATAGAATAGGGGTTGGCCACATGCAAAGCAGATGCCTTACCTACTTGACTACCTCTCTGGTCCCTCTAATGGTGTGTTGTCAGAAAATACAGGCATTTCTCAAGATACGCTAATGACTAGAAATAATTTTCTTTTTACTTGAGTCACCCTGGTTTACAAAACTGTTAATGAGTGTTCATGCTTCAGCATTCCAGCACCACACCTTCCTCCAGATGTCCATTTCCCTCCACCATGTCCCAGTGCCCCCACCCCCCGCCCTCCACCAACCCCGATGTGGGAACCTTCTTGCCGAAGACCAGCAGTTCTCAATTTCTGTTGCTTTGATCGTTTGTTATTCCCCTGCTATGTTTCTTTATATCTCACATATAAAGAAAACTTTCCTTCTGACCAACTCAGCGTGATGCTCACCAGGTCCGTCCACGTAGCAGCAAATTGCATGATCTCATCTTGTCTTTAAGCCAAGGAGTGTTTCATTGTATGTATGTTTTATAGTTTCTTTATCCAGTCATCTGTTCTTGGATACTGGGGTCGTTTCCAGATTTTGAGAAGAGTGTATTTTACAAAAAGCCCGGACCAGTGGACATTCCCACCAGAAGGGAGTAAGGAAGGGTTCCTTTCCCCCCACATCCCTGCCAACAGTGGTTTTTGATTGTTTGTTGTTCTTTGTGATGTGTGCCAGTCTTACTGGTGTGAGATACCTCATCTTGATTTGCCTTTCCTTGATTATAAATAATGAAGAGAAATTTTCCTTATTCCTTTTGGCCATCTGAATGTCTTTTTTGATCAAATTTCAGTTTACTCTGCTACCCCCCACCCCCGTTTTCTGATGGAGTTAGTTGTTTTCTCCTTGTAAAGTTCTACCAGAGCATTATATATTTTGGATGTCAACCCTTTATCAGCTGAGTAGTGGGCAAGTAATTCTCGTCCAGTCTGTGGGGTGTTTCTGTTGTGGTCAGTTTCCTTTGTGGTGCAGAAGCTTCTTAGTTTGATGTCGTGCCATTTGTTTATCTTTGCTGTTTGCTTGGCCAGTGACATTGAATCATTGAAGATCCCTCTAGAGTCAGCGTTCTGCTCTACCAAATGATTATTTCTTAAATAAAAAGCTGATTTTTCTATCAAGGTAAGGTGCATTTTGCAAACTTTGTTGAGCTGTCACAGAGCAGGTTGCTCTACTTAACGACCATGATAAATATCAGATTCACCCTGAATGTAGTGCAAAACCTTAGACATGGAATCTGTTAGTCCCTTATCGGTCTTTCCAGATTTCAGCTCCCTTCAGGGGTTGTAAGCATGACACAGATGATTGTTGGAAAGTTAGTATAGATTGATAGCTAATTTGATAGACTCATAATTTGATCTGTAGCGTGGTTCTTCCTATATTTATCCTTTAAAATACTTAATATGTTGTTAATTTGCTAACCAGCAGAATTATTATCCGTTCCTCAGATAATCTTAGGCCTCTAAAAAGGGGATTGATCTTCCAGCATTGTCTAAGCATTGCTTGTGTGCTAAGTTAGCCCTTATTGTCCCTATGGTAGATCTTTTCCCCCACCGATTTACACATTCGGAAAAAGGGAACCCACAGAAAGAATTGGTAGATTTGGATTTAAACATGAGTTATCTCACTTTGGTTTGATACTGTGAAATTTGGGGGGTATAGCTTCATACTATTTATATATATAGGATTTAATATTCGCACCACCAAAGCTCTAGTGTCATTACATTATCAAAATCACCCCCTCACACGCCCTTCTTCTTTCCCTCTGGTAATCAAACTCTTCACGGTCTGGGTGATTTTTATGTTTCATCAGTTCATCATTTATGTTCTCATATAAATGAAACCATAATTGTCTTTGAATTTTTTTTCTTTTTGGGTCACACCCGGTGATGCACAGGGGTTACTCCTGGCTCTCCACTCAGGAGTTACTCCCAGTGGTGCTCAGGGGACCATATGGGATGCTGGGAATCGAACCCGGGTTGGCCGCGTGCAAGACAAACGCCCTACCCGCTGTGCTCTCTCTCTAGCCCCTAAACTCTTGACATATTTCACTAACATAATCAGTCTCCTCAAGTTCCATCTACTTTGACCCAAAAAGAAAGCATTTGTGCCCCCCCCCTTTTTTTGGAAAGCTGAGAAACATTCCATTGAATACGTAGACTACAGCTTCTTTAGACAGTCAGATATATAAGTTGAAGTGAATAACGCTGCTATGAATGTTGGGAGGAAAATAACTTGCTCGGCGAGTAAATTCACAGGAGTAATGTTGCTAGATTATATATTATCTTTCTTGGTTTCTATTTCAGTTATTTTTGCTGAATTTTGATTATTTCCTTCATTGACTTCATCTAGTGTCTTTTGATTTCATTTGTCTTTCTAGGTCTTTTTGGCATAAAGTTAGGTTGAGACTTTTTTATTGATACAGGTTTGTATTCCATGAGCTTCTCTCTGTTACCTTGATTGCAGACCTAAATAGTTTGTCTCTAATTTTCATTATGCCCTAGCTAATTTTTATTTCTCTTTTGGTTTCTTTGTTTATCCAGGAATTGTTCAGAATTATGATATTGAGTCTCCTAAATAACATAATTTTCCTTCTGTGTTTGATTTCTGTTTCCTTAACCATTGTGGTCAGAAAAGATGCATGGTCAGTTTTGATCTGCGTGTATTTATGGAGGTTTGTTTTGCAACATAGGATCTCTCCTTGAGAATGGAGTGGGAATTCCTGTATGTGATTGTTAAATTCATCTGTTCAGTTATTTCATTTGAGCACACTCTTTTCTTCTTAACTTCTGTCCAGGTGATTTATCCATTAATGTAAATGGGGTATTGAGATCCTTTGCTGTTATCATTTTACTCTCTATAGCTTGCTTTCGGTCATGTTAATGTTTCATAAATCTAGGGGCAGTAAGTAATGAGAGTTATATCTCTTGATCATTATAGATTATTTGTCTTGCCTCTTATTAACCCTTTTAACGGAATCTCTAGTTTGTCAGGAGTGAAGTAGTAGTTTCTGCGTTTTTTCTGTTATTGGCTTGAAATAATCTTACTCCAGTCCTTGACTTGGAGAGTCTGTCTTGTCTTTAGATTTGATATGAGTTTCTTGTTTGCATAATACAGACGGATTCTGCCCTTTGGTGTGATGCCAGGCCTTAGGCCCAGGGCCTCACACATGCAAGTCAAGCACTCTGCTGCTCAGCTACATCCCCAACCCTGGCTCTTGCCATTTTATCAAGTGTTTTTTGAGTGATGAGTTAGATCATTCACATTTAGGATGATTAATGATAAATGGGGCTTAATTACAGTTATTCTGTCTTTGTTTTCTGGTTGTTTTATATTCCTGGTGTTCTTTTTCTCTGCCTTATTATTGGGTTGTGTTTTTCGGGTGTGTCTCTGAATTTATTTGATTTTTCTTCTAAGTGTCTAAAAAGTTGTTTTTGTAAATGTAAAAAATACCCAGATTTTTGTTTTGTGATCACAGTGAGGATCATATCAGTTTTTGTCAAACATAATATTTTTTGTATACTGCTACTTCTTCACTTTTAGACTATCTGTATTCTGCCCTGTACTACATCCCTGAGATGTGTTGAGGTATCATTTGGGTCTTCTTATGATTTTTTTCTTCTTGAACAGAACTCCCTTGGGCTGTGATGATTGGCGCAGGGGTACGGACCTCAGCTAAATCATGGGAGCTGAATGTATGTGTTTTGCCTTTGTCCTGCATGTGGCAGGTTAAAGCAAGCCCTTACACGAGAATGCCTTAATCTGAGCCCGGGAGGGGAAGGGGAAAAAAAAAACAGTAAAAGTAGTGACTCCTTTGACCATTTCTTGTTGTGGTGGTAAATGTTTCTTTTTTTTTCTTTTAATCTTGAAAAGACTTTGATTTCATCATATTAAGTAATAATTTTGCAAAGTAGAGTATTCTTGCCTGGAAGTTTTTACCTTTTGAGAATCTTGGTCATCATTCCACTCTCTCCGAGCCTGAGAGTTCTGATGACAGTCTGAGTAGGAAACTTTTATGTTTTATTTCTTATTAGCCTTGAATATTTTTTCTTTATTTCTGACTTGGTAGTTTACATGTGGTATGTCTTGGTTTGGTTTAGGGTTTTTTGTCTTTTTTTTTTTAATTTATAAATTTGAGTATTCAGTAAGTTTCCTAGACGTCTATGGTTGGTTCTTTCCTTAAATTTGGCTTTATTCCTGCAGTTGTTTCTTTGGTCTCTGTTTCCATCTCTTCACCTACCGGTATATCCATGGTCTTTATGTTTTCTCCTCTTTCCAAAGCTGAGTCTTACAGTTCTCAAAATGTCTTCTGATTT